ATTCTCGTAATAGTCGCCTTACCTATCTTATTTTTTTGCAGATATTCATTAATGATGAAATGTTGGAATGCCAATGCTGCAGAACGTCCCAGTTTTGCAGAAATTTGTTCAACATTAATAAAAATCATTGAAAATTCAACTCCAAACTACGGATATGTAAATGCTGTTAATGACTACCAGCAAGCACCACCATCAAGTAACCGACAAACCAACGAACGGTCCGATGCTGGATGACGTGCTGTATAAGGATGGTTGCATTTTGTGACAGATGATGAAGATAATTATAATGCTGTACCAAAATGGTCATAGAACTGGTGAAGAATAGCTACAGTAAATCAAACATGGTCCTTCTGATAGACAACGGTAATTTGGAAGGCAAATATCGACATGCTGCGCAAGGGCTAAGCCTTCATAACGGAATTTCTCCTCAAGCTATCTAAACAAATTTCTTTTCCGAAGTCCTGTCGAATATTTGTGCTGCTGTTAACTTTTTTCGTTTACATTTAATACCGAGAATAACAGGGTAAACTATCTTTATCAACAATATTTAAATTATTAAAAACTATTTAATTTGTCAATTTGAAAAAGTGCTGTTTTTCCTGACAACCTTTCTTAAAAAATTTGCTTGTCTTTGCGCTACTACAGCTTCTATGTGGTACACTGGCATAGCTTATTTTATAGATGAGGCAGTTATAGTTGCTTTGACTGCTCAAATTATTCTTTTTTCTAACCTTTTCTATCCGTAAGAATTGATAAATTGTTAGATAAATGGTGTAAAAACAGTCGCCAAAAACTAAAAGCAGTGAAATAGCGATAAAAACAATCAAAAAATGATTGAATTCAATGAACTGGGTTAACGGTTTTATTTCACTATTACTTTTGCTTAAAAATATAAAAAAAATGGTATTAACATTTATAACTAATTTCCAAAATGCCAATAACAGGATAAAATACGTTAAAGGTAGTAACTGCCTAGTGACTTTGCACGGCGGTTTGCAACGCCTCCCGTTCATCAGATGCAGTCACCTTATGCCGAACATACATAGTCAAGAAACCTTCAGCATTATTGCGAATTACAGGAACTTATTTAAGCTTTAATTTCTTCTTTTGAGACCTCAGAAGATCATATTTTTATTCAAAGCTGTAACAGTGAAATCAAAAAGAGAAGTTTTGCCAACCTTCATATTCTACAACCAGTCACAGTATGCGAACTCTGCCTCTCTGCTGCGGCCTATACTGTATAAATTTTATAGTAACGATCACTTTTACCTCCACAGGGAAGAACCCACGACGGCACTCATGCAACGTTCTTCTCTCCTTCTTCTTCTTAAAAAAAACCAGCAGCATTTAACAACAACATAAAAAAATAACGACCTCTAAATATACAACAGAAAATAAAATTGACAATTAACAGTCAACTGACGAAGCTATAGAGCGAAGGGTTATAAAAGCAAGGAATGTGAAGAGACTTGATAAATATCAAGTCTTCTCACATCCATTGCTTTTATCTTGCCAGCAACCCTCTCTCACTGCGAGGCAGTTCAGGAAAGTCTCGCGAGCAAGAAACGCTAGACAGAAGTAGGAGAGACGCAGGGACTAAAAAGTGGATGCTAGACCACTTTTATAACTGTAGTCCTACGGGGAAATATTAATTCTATCCACATCATACAAATTTCATACACACAGTTCTCGCTGTTTTCCGTCAATCTCTGGACATCCAAAACAATGAAGCAATCACGGCCCCTTGGCTGAATGTGTGAAACTTATTTATCTAGCCGTCTAAGATGGTCAAAAAAACTCAGCTTGAAAGCTGCTGTTTTAGATTATCAGAAGAATTCTTTCGGAATGTTTGCCCCCTTCTTTGAAACTGCAGCAATTTCTGATTTTGAATACCACTCTGAAAACATGCTAGAAATTATTTTTTGGTCGCTCTCTTATCTTACATTTTCTATGCTAAAATTTGAAAAAAACCGCTTCAGATATTAAAAAAAAAAAGTAAACTCCGGTTCAAAATGAATCAAAATTTTACGGCTTGAAAAAAACGAGGAGAAAATGAATAGAAATATTTGAATTTATAACAATTGAATACGCGTCTTTTTGAGCAGATTGGAAAATGGCCAAGAAACATGAGAATTGTGGACTGAAAATTCATGTGAATTGTGTGTTGTCTTTATAGTTTTGAACTATTGTCAAGTTCCTTCCGTGACTTCTCTATAATTCCTGTGAAGTGTACTATAGTTTGGTTCTTGTCGCCCATAAAGATATTTTTTATCTTATTCTCCTCTACGTGAGAGGAAAGCGTTTTGAACGTTTTTCCAGGATATAGTACTGTTTATGTTTTTCATGTAGTTTCATTATGGTGCCGCCACTGTGTGCCGTTTGCTCACGTCATCTTACTAACCAACCAGCATCGGTAGAACGGCCGTGGCAATGTGCCTTATGTTTCGGTATTCTTGATCCGGACTTCATAGCAGAAGTTGCTGAAAAAGTACATCAAATTTTCTTGGGTTTTGTAATTTTTGACGAAGTTTTGCAGAGCAGTTTTCTTTTGTAGAATTCACAGTTATTATTACCTTTTTTCTTGGGGATTATTATGAGTGTTGCACAGTATTATCTCCTTTCAGGCGGCGGAAAGTCTGAATTCAGAATGCTTTGATTCTCATTCATTTGTATTGGCGCTTAATGTCCCTGTTTCTGTTACTCTGCGGGAAGCAATCATTGAATGTTCTAACGATAGTGAAATGCGGCAAGGTACTCTTTCTTCCGTACCATTCAAACTACGTCTCGTGGACGCGTACACTGGAAAACTCAAAGAAGTTAGCATATCGGATTGGCGGAGATGTAGATCTTCCATTATTGCCACTGAAAGTTTTTTCCATTCTAGGCTACTGGACTGCATCCAAGTTTGGGTTCAGACTTAAAGCTAACGCTCACTCTGGTTAATGATGAGTTTAACCTTACTGACAGCGTCTTCCTATTCAAGCATTTCAAAGAAGATTTTGTGCCGAGTAGGAAAAGGAAGCGTTTTGAACCACAACAGCCGCTGGAGACAAATTTTACTAAAGTGCGAGTCAGTAATATTGTATCAAAAATAACTCCAGAAATTTCTTCGTAAGTTGTATATGAAGCTTTCTTGAATTGGCACACCTTTACTGCTTCTTTTAATGCGTGTATTACTTGTATCTCAAGCCTATGCTTTTAAAATTGGAGTTAATTTGGAGATACGTCATCTTTTTTTCCCCACATAAATCTTTCTGTCTTTTGGTAATGAATGGATAACAGACTTAAACACCTGAATTTGAAGACAGAAATAATAGTCGGGTAAAATGAATTCGATTTTGAGCTATATTTTGGCATAGTACGAAATCTTTAAGGTTTTAGGCACGAAGGATTGGTTTTGGAGTCTATAATTTTACCGTTTGCGGCCAAGGCTGGATGGCCATTATTTCTCATAAAAACTCTTATTTTCTAGGTTAGCTGATGTATACGCTTATTATTTGTTATATGAAAAATAATCGACATTTACGAGTGGAACAGCTTTGCAATGATGTGGAAAAAAAGACGAATTGATATTCATAAAAAACATGTGCAAGTTTTTACGCTTTGTGAATGACATAGTGGAATGCAAGTGGGCTAGTAAGCTGGAGGATAAATAACTGAGGCTAAACGGGGAGAAGTTCAGTGGACACGTTTTTGTTTTTTGTTTATTCTGTCAAAAAGTATTCGCAGATGGAATTTTGTATTTTGAGGGGACTTTGCCGAAGTCGGTTGCTGGAAAACTTACGACTTGGGGCGCAGTACGGCACATTTTGATGCATATCTTCTAATCTACTCTTAACTCGTTAATTCTCACCATTTAGTAGTAGGGATTTCACGTTTTAAAGTGCAAAAGCTTTTAAATATGTATTTTTCATAAAATTATTTTGACTGTTCATGCAACAATCTTGCAAAACTTTTTTCAAAAATCTTGGTTATTTTACACTGTATAGTGTGCGATCGAATTCGAGAAGAAATGAAGCTTTGTGGGGACTCAGAGTCAACCAGTTTTATTTACAGATAACAAGTTCACAAACTTTAAAATTGTTCATGACTGCCTAAAAGTAGGAGCAGATTTTGTATTTTGATGAACTCAGTAAAACGTTCTTCAGCTTATCCCTTCTGTCTTTGAAATCAGCTGTTCAAGTTTAATATTTGCATTTTCTTAGAGTGACTCAACAGCATTCTTTTCATCAAAAAAAAGCCACCGTTAATTTTCTATCACAATGTATATGAGGACCTGTTTCAGGGCATACGAAATGATTTCTCCTAGCAAAAAATGTACTTTTTCTTTCGCTTTCGAGCGTAAGCCTATCTTTATTGCGGGACGTTATTGCAAATTCTCCCGCAGTCTTCCGCAGAGCCCGTGGACAGCTTCTGAGGAGCTTCCAAAAGTAAATGGGAACTCAGTAAGTTATGATAGTAAATATTTCTTTTTATCTAACGTAGAAAAACGAGTAGGGAAGATTGTTGTTCATTCCAGTTTTTTTCACATTCTTTTGCAACTTTGAAGTCATATTTTGAAGGTTTCTGAGAAGATTACAAAAGTATTGAGTGAGGAAACACGATGTGACTCTACCCGTTTTATTGCTTCGGGTAGAGAAGATATTGATGTAAGGATGTTGGGGTCAGGACGGCCGTTCGTTGTTGAGGTGCAGCTCAATATTACTGTTTGACGCTACATAAAGTCCTCTCAAAAGTTATCGCATTAATTTATTTTTATTTTTTGCACATAAATACACATCTCGTTTATCTTATTTTTAAGGTTTTTCGAAGAGGAAACTTTTTTCATTAACCTTCAACTGGTCTTTTTTATAGTGTTTTAATCCTCGCAGAAGGCTACAATTTCTCAGAGATTTACTGAAAGAAACTTTGTGTCGTCTTGAAAAAAGTATCAATGATGATAAAGATATAAAACTTGGAAGTTCACTCAAACTAATTGCCGAAAAACAAGCAAGCGATGTAAAACTCGATCAAGAAGGTTTATTTTTCTACTGTAGGGATATTATCCTTTTTTACACTCAATTTTGCAAGTTTTATAATTTAGATAAGCAGAAGTGTTATACGGCTTACTGCTATTGCACAGAGGAGATTTTGGAAGCTAATCTTGACAAACTTTCGACATTAGCCCCTATAGAGATTCTCCAAAAGACACCAGTGCGTGTATTAAAAAGGCGTTCGCTTTTAGAAAGAAAGAGGAATGTTTTTTCAATGGATGCTTTAAAAGTTGACGACCTTCACTTCCTTTTGAGGTATGTGTGAGGCGTAAGCGTCATGCAAATCTCCTTCTTTCTTGTTAGTTAGTGGACTTGATAAATGTATTTTAGGTTGGAAACTCAAGCTGGTACCTACGTAAAAGAATTTATTCACGGCGACTTTGGTCGTACAAAACCTTCTCTTCGTGATCTGTTAGGTTTGACCACTGGAGAAGTTGATATAATTGAATTAGACGTAGAGTATGTAAATATGGAATGGCCACCTGGCTAAAAATAGGTTAAGGTTTTGTGTGGTAATATAGAAGCCTCAAAGAT